TTGTATGACAAGAATATGTCCTTAAGGAAAGATGGGGAAACTCAGTAACTAGGAAAAGAGGATTAGGATGCATAGTAATTGTGGGGACAAGTCACAGATTTTCATCAGCAATAAAGGTGAGAATGGAGGAGTTCCACATGTAAAATGCAGCTCATGTTTTCAAGCTGGTAGTGGGTCAAACGATTAAGTCAGCTGAGAGTATTTGCCTAGCATGCACCCACAGGCTATGTCTACACTCGCAGCTTCTTGCGCAAGTACATCTTGCGGAAGAAAACGTCCACACTGCCATGTGCGAGCTGTGCTTTTGTGCAATAGCGCTCATGGCAGTGTGGACACTCTCTTGCGCAAGAAAGCTCTGGTGACCATTTTAGCCATAGGGCTTTCTTGCGCAAGAAATCTCTGCCGAGCATCCACACTGCCCTCTTGCGCAAGAGCTCCTGCGCAAGAGGGCTTACACCTGTTAAAAAAGAGCATAGCTCTTGTGTAAGGAGCCCTCTCTTACCACGCCGTACTGTAAATTTTCTTGCGCAAGAGTGGGCGGGCAGTGTGGACGCTCTGCAGATTCTTGCGCAAGAACAGCCATACTTGCCAAGAAGCCGCGAGTGTAGACATAGCCACGGTGTCCTCCACTCAAGGGAAAAGAGGATGCTAACAAAGCAAGGCTGTACACTTACCACAGGGCCTGCTTTGTGTATGGAGTCTCCAGGTGTGTCTACACAGCAAAGAAGAACCAGTGGCTGGCCCATGCCAACTGACTCATGCCTCTGGGACTCAGGCTGCAGAGCTGTTTCACTATAGTGTGTAGACTTTTGGGTTCTGGCTGAAGCTTGGGCTCTAGAATTTTCCCACCCCATGACAACATTTTTATTACACGTCTCTTCTACATTTTATTTTTTGGACTGTATGGCCTCACAGTGCTCTGCTGCTGTGAACCACAGGCTCTTTTGATTTGCCAAGCCCTGGAGCAACTTCTCCCTTTCCTCTCCTCCAAACCCCATTGGCAGGCCTGGATGCACAGCTGGAGCAACATAGTGATGTCAGACCTTTTACATGCTTTTTTCCCCTTAATGCTTGTCCAATCTATATTCTACACACATTCCCCAATCACACAATATATACTGCTTGAAACACAGGTTATACGATGACTAGTTGACATAATAGCCAAGTACTGCTAACCTCATTCAAGCAAGTAGACCAGTGTTAAACTGTGTTCCGCAGCGCACAAGCCATGAGGCAGTTGGAGGTGTGCTGCAGAGAACAACAGAATTCAAAATGGCCATTTTTTTTTATTTATTTTTTTTTTTGGCTTAATAACTTTCCCCCGGCCCTTTTTGCTCAACAAAAAATCCTTGGCATTCCTCGGTCTTAAAAAGTTTAAGAAACACTAACGTAGACTTACTGACCTAGGCGGAGCTACTTATGAGATTAGGGTGAGCAGAATGACCCCCACTTTGTATAGCATTCTTCATTCAATCTTCATTATCAATCTTATTCAGGTGTAAAATTCAAAGCTTGTCTATCTTGCCAAAAGAAGTTAGTTCTATAAAATAATTTTATACAAATATTGGTATTAGGGTGAAAGTAGATGATGGGACTTACCAGTGCACCCTGCAAAGGGGAACTGCTCTTGGCCCCTGAAGGGGTGGGGCTAGGGCACCTTCTGCCCACCCCAGCCAGTTCTTAAAAATCTCCAGTGATGGTATATAGTTTTCTCAACCATGCTTTAATCTTAACTCCAAACAATGTGGCCAAGGAGTACATAGAACTATAGCTTATCCTACTGTACTTTAAAATGTTATATCTGAGAGGGAAAGTCTTGACTCTTAAATCACCATTGACAATTTTAAAAATTAATAGCAGTTAAATGTATATAAAGCTCTGGATAAAAATGGTATCTGGTCTCCTGGGCTATGTCTACACTGGCGGGTTCTTGCACAAGAATCCACAGAGCGTCCACACTGCCCACCCTTTCTTGCGGAAGAAGATTTATAGTACGGCGTGGTAAGAGAGGGCTTCTTGCGCAAGAGCTATGCTCTTTTTTTAACAGGTGTAAGCCCGCTTGCGCAGGGGTTCTTGCGCAAGAGGGCAGTGTGGACGCTCGGCAGGGGTTTCTTGCACAAGAAAGCCCTATGGCTAAAATGGCTATCGGAGCTTTCTTGCGCAAGAGAGCGTCCACACTGCCATGGGCGCTCTTGCACAAAAGCACAGCTTGCACATGGCAGTGTGGACGTTTTCTTGCACAAGAATCCTTGCGCAAGATGTTCTTGCACAAGAAGCCGCCAGTGTAGACATAGCCCTAGTGTGCCCTCTACTGCGAACAGAAACATTAGAAAACAGTGTTTTGAAAGCTTTCATGGTGCAAAAGAAAAACAAAACCACACAAAATAAACAAAAATGTTTTTAAAACACAAAAAGAGTAAAGGAACTGATCTTGATCTCATTATAGACAATGGCAAACTACCAATTGATATAAATGGAAGCAGTAGCAAGGCAAACATTAAGAAAATACATGGAATTGGCTTTTCTTTTCAAGTTCTTAAGAGGATATTATAAAAAGGAAATGTACTGATACAAGTATTTTATAATCTTGTTCCCTTAGCAGAATAGTGTTGAGACAAATCTCATCAAAAAGCTAGTTGTTATAATGTTTTAAAAGAACTAAGTCTTCATTTCTTTTCCCTCTCTGCAACCCTAGCATTGAGCTACTACAGAAGTGAGGAGTTAAAATTAACAAGAAACTTCACTGTAAATATAAAACAGGCCAGGCTATTTTCACTATCCAAACTGCAAACAGTAAAACGGAATAATGCATAAAAAGTAAATGTGATTTTACAGTATTTCAATTGTAATAATTTAAGCAAAACTGAGTACACAATATTAAGATAACTTGTGATCACTAAATGGTTTTGTTGTTCATTGCATTCATAGTGATTTTTGTTTATTTGTTAGTTACAAAAAAAAGGCAATAGTTTCATTATTGTTGCATTTGTTTAGAAAAGTGCTTTGTTATCTGTGAGAGTTGCCATTTAGTAAATTGCTGTCTCTAGCTTTCCTAGTCTCTTCCTAATGCTATAGAGGTATAGTATGCGGGATGGAAGAGTGTTAATAGTAACAGGAGTTTTTTAAAAAATATTGCTTGGGAATTGTCCCCTAAAAACTTTTGAAGAGTTGAAGAAAGATGAGTTTATGGTCATAAGTGATTTTAAGTAGGTCACAGTTTGGACAGCACTTCACAAGCTTCAGATCCACAGCTGAGAAGAATTATGTAAGAAGCCCTTGGTATTAGTTGTACTATAGAACAACTACATAAGTTAGCTGATTGAAGATGAGATGAAAAGCCCCCAGCTGCTCTCATTGACACCTGTGTGAAGACATATACATTGGATTTAAATAGCATTCAGAAGCTGAGTTAATACTGAGCCAAGGAAGTGGTGGTTCCTAGAGTTTGACAAACCACGTTCAGTGAGGTGAGAGTCAGATTAATAGTTAGAGAATAAATGGAAGGGGAGGGGGAGAAGCTGCACATTAAATCGGGATCACTAGCGCTGGGACTGGAGCGCTAGGCAGCTGAAGTCGCTACACTCCCAGCAAAGAAAAGTGGCTCCCTGCAGTGAGAAAAATGAGAAGCGAGAAAGGTGGTTTCCACGTCCCCCTCTCCCGGGGCCTGGGTTACTTTGTGCAGGGGTTGTTTTCTCCTCTAGGCTGCAGGGCGGGCGCTGGGTCCCCGGGTGGTCTGTTAGGCTGGCTGGTGCAGAACAGAGCGCACCGAACTCCGCAGGCAGCTGTTGGGAGGGGAGGCGCCGGAGCACGTGGAAGAAAATGAGAAGCGAGAAAGGTGGTTTCCACGTCCCCCTCTCCCGGGGCCTGGGTTACTTTGTGCAGGGGTTGTTTTCTCCTCTAGGCTGCAGGGCGGGCGCTGGGTCCCCGGGTGGTCTGTTAGGCTGGCTGGTGCAGAACAGAGCGCACCGAACTCCGCAGGCAGCTGTTGGGAGGGGAGGCGCCGGAGCACGTGGAAGGAGCCGCCCCGGGGCAGTCATGTTTATTGCCTTTTTCAATCAGAGTGTGAGTCAGCATGTCAGGGCTAGACACGGTCTCCGTGGTGACCCCTCTGTTTATCAATGTGAGGGTCCACTGAGCCATGCGGGTGTTTGAGACCTTGCCCCCAACCAGTTTCTCGGACAGAATGTACTTTAAAGGGGTGTGGGTGCTTTGGATCGCTAGGGGAGCCGTCCCTGTCAGGGATTCAAAGGACTGGACTGCCCACACCGCGGCCAAACATTCCCTCTCACAGGGATCAAAATTTCCTGGATTTGTAAGCTACCGGCACCAGCTTCTCTTCCTCGTTCCTCTGGAGGAGAATAGCTGCTAATGCCCGGTCGTTAGCTGCGAGTCTGATTACAAAGGGCTGGGACTCCTCTGAGAATTGCAGAGCAGGGGCCGTCAGAGCTTTTTGTTTAAGCACTGTAGTGAGCAAAACACTAACTCCTCTGAATTTGTGACCCATGGACCAGGAGCAAAAGGCCCCCGCCCAAGGCAAAACACCAGCATCCCCTGAGTCCATTAGCCAGGAGGTAGCAAATTGAGAGATTTTTCTACCAAAAAACACAGTTCCTCTGAATTTGCAACCAGCCAGCAAAGGTAGCAATTCGCAAAGGTAGCAATTCCTGAGCAGTTGTACCGAATGTCATGTATGTATGACAGAAACTGTGACGGTCACAAAAACTGAGAGGTTTCGCTTTTTGCCTATACACCGGCGCGGAGCCGGATACTTCCCCTGGCGGCGCGGAGAACAGGGCTCCTCGCTGGACGTCGCGGCGCTGCTGGTGGCCGAGGGGCTCGGTTCGTGCTCCCCGCCCTCACGCCTGACGTGCCGCGGACCGGGAGAGCCCCCCCGCCATCCCCACCTGCTGGTCTTCAGCCTCCCCTGCCCCGGCGCAGCCCCTGCGGGCGGGGCGGGGAGGAATTTGCCCCCAGAACTGTATCCAGGCTCCAGCCTACGGATGACAATCTTCAGAAAGCGCTACCTGTGCTCCACTGACCTGGACACGGATGACAGCGAGTTGAAATACACCCTGCTTTCACCCCCCCAACGGACATAGATGAGAACCACCCTGTGCTGCTTGGGGAGAATGTGCTGGCAGAACCCTCTGGTGTCCGTTACTCAGTTCATCCAAGTCCAGGTGAACCATCACAAAGTGGCATCCCGAGGAGCTGGGTATCACCCCAAGGGTGGTGGAATTTAACTACAGCCTAGAGGACTCCAGGAGCAACTGTGTGCCAGGAACCTTCACTCTCTTCCTGCAGCCAGTGAACCATCAGCCACCCCAGGTCACCAGCACAGGCTTCACTGTTCTTGAGCAGAGCAGCTTTTTTTCTAAGCGCTAATCAGTTGGATGCCGCAGACACAGACCAAATTGTCTTCATCTTAAACAAGGCACTCCAGCATGGCCACCTGTGCTACCGGGAGGGGCTGATGGTCCAGGGTGAATCTTTCTTGCTAGATGATTTTGCCAGTGGATGTATATCCTACCAGCACAGTGGTGATGAATCCACCAGTGACTCCTATCAAGTGGAAGTGAGTGATGAGCCACTCCGTGCCAATCACTGTTAGGATCACTATGTAGCCAGTGGATGAGAAAAAGCCCAGCATCGCTCTACATGGTGGCAACGGACTGGTGGGACCCTCTATTGATGTGCTAGAAAATGGTGTCCTTGAGCTCACTACTTCCTTTATCCAGGGCACAGATGAACATACCAATGATCTGGCACTGACTTTCGTTGTGAAGGACCCTCCCCTCTACTCCTCCAGCTTGGTGACATTCTGGTAAATTGAGTGCCAGCAAGAACTTTCTCAGTGGGACAGCAGTCTATGCTCACATGGTGGAGAGCTTAGCCTGCAGAAGAGGTATGACTCTTTGGCTGTGTCTACACTGGCATGAATTTCTAGAAATGCTTAAAACAGAATAGTTTTCGTTATAAGTATTTCCGGAAAAAGAGCGTCTACATTGGCAGGGGGGGTTTTCCGGCCA